CATAATTCAGGAAACTGTAACCATAAGATTACTTTAAGCACATTTTACCATTTAAGTAACTTATAATTTCAGTATAGAAAATAAGTAAATGTATAATTTATTGTAGATGGCTGCCCATCTCAGCAGTCTGTCTGTGAACAGAAGGCCTTATTCCATTCTAATAAAGCAGTGTTTCCAAACCTTGACAGCTTTCAGGGGTGTGGTCTCAAACCCCCAGAAATCCCCAGCCAGCCTTGCTGGCTAGGGAATTCTGGGAGTTGAAGTCCACACCTCTGAAAGCTGCCAAAGTTGAGAAATACTGTTCTAAAGACTTCTTCCAATTTCTGATCTTGCAGAGTACTTTGCTAGCAGAACCTACTAATGCCTCCTCTGCATACATCTCTCCTGCTGCTGCTTTTCTCTGTTCTCTGAAAACAAGACATTTTTAATTCCTTTCTCCTCTATCTCTTTTCTAAGATGGCCTTCTAATTTAGTTCCTTGACAAGGAACTAAATTAAAAGGGCCAGCATAGAAACCATTTCTGTGTGTGCGTTCAGTGTTTTGCATGCTCTTTTCTTTTCAGCAGATAGCATTTTCTCCTTTTTTTAGATCTGCTTGATGCAGCTGTGAAAGTTTTATTTTGCTGCTCTGTCTTTCTTTTTGTATTAGCTTCTTGTATCTGTGCTGTTCCTCACTGACAGAACACTAGAAATAAGCTTTTACCTTAATCAAGGCTTCCTAATTCCCTCTTAAACTGTCTCTCCTTGCTATTTTGTAGCATGAAAGTGGTACCTTTCACTTTCCAAATGTAGTTAGACTCCAAGTCCTGTCAACTCCAGACATCACAGATTTGTGTGTGATGGGAATTAAAGGCTGTAGTTTCTCACCTTCAACATATTCTATACCTCAAGTAACTTTCTTTTTGAAAGTATGAAGGAACATCCTAGGATTTTCATTAAAATTCAATCATTTACTAATTTCTTTGCAGCAATGAATGATTGCTGAGATATTTTTCACTTGGAAAAATGCCTGCTTGTTGATTTCCATTTCTTCTGGACCATATTTTCATAGGGTACAGATAGGCAAAATTGGTACAAATTGCATCTCCTCCTCTTCTTCCTCTGTTCATGTAGACTTTTGATTGATCAAAAAGGGGGCATAATGGGATTCAACCTAATCTCTATAAAAAGTTCATTATCTTGTGCAGGTATATATTTGAAAGAATGATTTCATGATTGAATGAAACCTTTTGTCTTATGAAAAGGGGAGGTCTTCTATACATTAACCCACATTAGTGGAAAACATTCATCTGTAGGTATGTTGGATTAGAACTACATATGTATAAAACACTGCACGTGACCATTTATTCACCAGATTAACATATCAGAAAGTTGGAGCATGATAGTAGCTAGCTTGGAAATATGTGCACAATATAAATTAGTGTTGTGTTCACATTGGGTATCTATTAAGTGCATACAGACAAATGCTGCATGTATGAGTGACTGGGTGATATGATATGGGGTTTCTTTTGTTGAAAATATCAAATTTAAGGAAACACAGTCTATATTTTGTTCCAGTGAGTAGGTTCACATATTGCATTAAGCCATGGTTTACTTTTAGGCATATTTTTAGTAGTCCACAGTTTACAAACCATAGTGACTAGGTTCATATAACATGCTGTGCTAATGGAAATTCACGTAAAACATATATGTAAGCCCAGCCTTTTTCTGTCATCACTTATTTTTTATTTGGAAGTCTTGCCTGTTAATAGGTATGTTGCATTGTATGTTGTCACAGTAATTTGATTGAATTTCTATTGTAATGCTTCTTAAATATTTTCTGTAAATTGAATAGCTTTAACTTTGTATAGAAATTTCTCCAAAATCTGTAAGATAAGCTATTATGTTTTTGGAACGGTGGTCACATCTTAAAATTTTAGAGTACATTGTGGGCATTCTCATAAAATGATTGTTACTCTGGGGGCTTGCCCATTCACAAAATATCTCCCATGGTAAGCATGACCAAAAATAAATACTGAGAGGCTATTTGCTTCAGATATTTTATGATACTACCTATAGCCCTAAAGGTATTCCCCATCATCTCACTCTTCAAACTCTATTTCAGAATAAAACGCTGGGCCACAGCCACTACCATTTTAACTTTCTGTGAAACAGATCCTGAAAATGCAATATCTTAAGTATAGCACAATATTTCTCAGCTTTCAATTCCAATGGTAACTGAAAGGAACCTCTGAACTGTAGAATTTCTTTTAAGACATAACATTCAGATCAAACCCAGCATTTGGATGAGTAATGATTTGACTTTACTGAGACTGGAACATCCAAACTAATAATCTTTTGGGCCTCCCTCTGTTTACTCCATCATATTTGAGAACAGATTTTTATCAGTAGCCTGTTCTGTTGAAAATCAACAAGTTCCCAGCTATTTAAAGAATATTTCTTGGACAAACGGTTCATTCTCCAATTGAAGAAAATTTAAATATCTACCCACAGTTCCCAGTTCACACATTTTAACAGCATTAATTCCCCCACAAAATTAACTTCTGATACTTGAACTCCAGTGATAAATTCATTCTCTAAGTGAACACTTACCTGAAACTAATTAGTGAACTTTTGAAATACTGACTACAGTACTATTTTTATTTTATTTTTTATTATTTTATTTTTAATTGTAGACATTTCAGCTTCACTAGTGCGATTATATGACCCTCATAACTATCTGGATATCTTAAAAGGCAATTGTCATGTTAACTCAACAACATTAGAAACAATGTATATAGCAAGAAAAAGTTGCTTTTATTTATGTACTCCACAAAGTTTCTTTGTTTTCAAGCATGTATTTCTTTGCATCAGCTTTATCCGTGGTTAAGGATTTATACTAGCACCATTATTAACCAGATAAATGGTTGGAAATATGTAGTGGGGCTGTGAGGCACTTCAGATTTAGTTCTCTGAAAGGTACTTTGGAGAATTCAGGAGTACAAACATAGCACCTATCTGCAACACCTTAAAACAGCTGATACTTTAGAGAAGCCCTTCTCAACTTTTTTACACTGGAGGAATTTCTGAAAAAAAATTCAGGTCAGTTAAGAAAGGCTGCAGTACAGCATCTTTCAGGATTAAAATCAAGTTACTACACAATTGTGCCACCCTAAAACAGTGCAATTTTACCTTTCCTCTTTTGTTTAGGAGACCCCCAAAACAGAATCCTTAATTTCATGGGAGGTTGGCTATTGTAACAGTAATATTCCCTATATATGACTAAGATGCCTCAACATATTTGTATACCATTTATTTTTATATTTAATCCACATTCATTCAGCATCGACCCATTGATGCCCTTTTATTCTTTAACTATATGCAGTTAAGTACCCCACTCCTGCATTCAATTTCTGTTTCTTCTGACATACCCAATTATGACTTCTATACATATAAAATAAGCAGAAGTACACTCTTACTATTTCACTTCTTTTGACAAACATTCAATCCTCACAACAGATCACATATTACCCAATAACCTTCTGCCATATTGGCATGTCCTAAAATGTCTCAATTTTTCCATCTTTAGTAAACATTCTACCAAGGTATGCACATCATCAAATTGCTCTCATTTTAACTTGGAATCATTTAGTCTATCAGAGATTTAGTCCTAGCTATAATACTAGAGCCGCTCTCAAGTTCTAGAGCTTCTTTTCTACAGAGATTTTCCAAGGTAAATCTCTTCCACTCCTCTCTAATTTATTGTCATCATGCTTGCTACTAATCTCTTCCACTAGCAGGGTGATCTAAGGAGTGACTTGCCTTCCAACTGTGGCTTCCAATAAGAAAAATAATATCCTACCTCTAATTGTGAAAAATCCTGGCTTTTTTTCTTATATCATTAGAAACAGTATACTCTCTGCTACAACTGTATATATTTGTAGTGTGCTAAGCTACACTGAATGATCAGTCCAGGAACTAAACAACTCTTGTTCCCCACTCTTCGAAAAGGTATTTGCTCTCATTGTCTCTGCCAACACCTCCCGTAGCTGGCTGCTTTCTTCAGGGATCATGTCTTCAATCCACTTTTCTCCTCCCCTCAAGCATTTTGCTCCCCAGGCTAAGTCTCTAAACTTCTTTAGGTGAAACTTTTTGCTCTCCATTGTGGGTTCACTCAGCTCTGGTATTGCTCATAAGTAGCCTTTCTGTGAGTGTGTGTGTGTGGGGGGGGCTGCTCCCCACCCTGATACTGTCAAACATTCTTCCTTTCTTGACTCTCCCTGCCACACCCCAAATTGGGGCCTTAACATGTTGTTGAGCTACCTCTATCTCCCTTCCAGTCTAGCTTCATTTCCTTCATTCTATCCTCCCTTCCATTGCCTGACCTTTAGCACTGAGGCTAGATAAATTATAACTGGCTGTCAGGAGCTCTGGTTGGGTTTGCTATTTTTTTCCAAATTCTGTAGCTCCATTTACCTACTGTACTGCAATCGAGCTATTTAATTTAACAACTTTAACCTTACTTGCCTTGCACCAAATCAATGCAAACCAGTGGGTTGCAAATGCATTAATGTTCAGATCCATACTTCTTGTTACATCATATATTCTAACATTCACTGCAAATCATTTGGGTTCTCAGCCAACAACACAGCAACAGCTGGATATAAATGTACACATACAGTCATAAGTCCAACAAAACTAGCCATAGAAAATTATGTAGTTTAAGCAAGCCTTCTGTTTCCCAACCCCCAATGTAAATAGAGAAACTGTAAAAGAAAATGTTCAAAACAATATTGTTAAGGCTGTCAAGTGGGAACATTTTTAATGAAAATGTTGCAGACAAATAGTGAAATAGAACCTTTTTCAAAATAATTTTTCTTAGGACTACTCTCTAAGTGGTGATAGGGGGCTTGTGTGGAATACACTTTTGTAATCTGCTTCCACAGTGCAATATTTATTGGAAAAGTACAGTAATAAGTTTAATAATGATTGCTGCCCTGTCCCATGTTTTGAGAACTTGTTTCTGACCTTTGGACAAGGAATGTTTAAGAGAAACTAAGAAAGCTGTAGAGCAGAATGCTCT